ATGTAGGTATAGATAATTACAATATACATAATTATAAATATATAAAAATAAATAAATACATAACAATATTAATATAATTATTTAGGTTCTTTCAAAAACTAAACTTTCAACATTCTAAACATTTCTAATAATGTTTCTATATGTTCTAATAATTTAGCCAGCGACGTACAGTACTCTTACCAAGTAATATAATTTTATTCTCGCTTATATATTTATAAGTAGTTGGAGATCTATAATAAATAGACAAAATTAATTTGGAAAAACGATTTTATCTCAATAAATGAACTAAACCAAAACTGTTGATAACAACGACGTACTTACTAAAGCCCAATCATGTTACGAACATTAAATTTATATGATACACAGTTAAGATATTTAAGGAATTATATTGGTCAAATTAAGATTTATATAACAAATAGCTGTTTAACGTGTGGCAAAATTGTGGATTTTACAACACAATTACATTCTCATAAATTATGAATTATAATTTATAACTAATGTAACTTTTAAATTAAAATATATACTAATTTTCACTTAATTTTATGATTAATTATAATTTGTGTATAAGAACAAGAGTAATAATAAATTCATTGATAAGATACATTAAAATATTCAATTTTGAATTGGCAAGTATTATGTAATAAATAATTATTTATTCTTTAATCCACGATAACAAAAAAAAATATGCAAGTAGATATTCATATACGAGTACTTCCTACTATTTCAAATTTTAATTTGTTAACTAGTTTAATCGCATGAATTTATATAAATGCATTCCATAAATTTTCGTATATGTTTTAACTGTGTACAATTTTGGTAAATTACAATTGTTTTCTTATTTATAATATTTCACAATTTTTCTGTTAAAAAGATGTACAAAATATAAAACGGCCAAAATCGTATTATAATATAATTATTAATATTAGCCCGTATCGCTCTTGTCATAGCCCGTTTTGCCCAGCACCACACTCGATCAAATCATTCAAAATAAAAATAATAAATAGTAAATACCTCAGAATTGTGAACGTCATAACTATAGTTACAATAAAAACGAGTAATACCTGCATCGCGCTTCACCATAGTTATGGAAATTGGAATAAAATACGAATTTATTAGTATTATTGGTCCTTATCGCTATCTACTGAGAATTTTATTGTACACCACTGAAAACCCGCCCCGTGAGCATATTAACATCTATAGCAGTGTTCGGCAATAAACGGCCCGCAGGCCAAATCCGGCCCGTGAAGGATAAATAATTGGATCACAAAAAATATTTATTTTTTAATAATTCTGGTTTTCCACACATAATATATATTTTATCTATTTTATGATGTATTTAGAGATTACGATGGTGTTTATCGTTTATTTCTATTTACAATAATAGCTGCGATAACACAACAATTATTAACTAATATCTGAGTTTTTACTGACCCTCAAAATTTTTTTTTTTATTTTCTGGACCTCCATAAAATTTAATTACCGACCCCTGATCTATAGTATTTATATTAGTAATATTAGTAATGAATGATAAAATCAAGAACACCAAAAATCAATTACATTATAAGTAAGTAACTTACTAACAAAATCGTTGTTTGTCATTTATGTAATTTTTTTTTTCAAAATTATTCAATTAAAATTGCTAAAAACAAAAAAATTACAAAATTAAACTTAAACTAATACCTAATTAATAGAAGGCCCAGATTTTATAATATTTAAGAAAGCCTTCCGGGATTTCCTCGATATACTGGTATACTGGTAGGCCAGGAATCTCCGGATTTTTGGTTTGCGCCTACCGCCACTCAACTATGCCTTAGCGCTTAGCATTGGGCGTTACTTACGGGCGAACTTAGATCTAGGTGAATTCGGCAAACTGTCTTCAACCTAGGATAATCTATGGAACACCAGCACCGGATCCTAAGGTCCATACCTTTCCAAGAGCCATGATGAATCAATTAAATATCACCTAGGTTCCCCCCCACTCAAAAACTAAATTCCGTGGTTTTTTGGTTACTATATCGCACTTGTTCCACAGCTACCACATTTTAGCCAAGGTAGGCTTCTCAACGCATATCTTTGAAAAATTAAGAAAACCTACTCTATAAAGTGCACCCAGTGTGACGCAGCTACTGATGACGCGAATCACACGTTGTTCAAATGTGTGACGCATTTAAAAACTGATGACGGCAGTTATCGAAAGAGATTGGACACTGCGTTACATCGGACAACCTAGCGGACCGCGCGTAATATGCTCTAAGAAAATATCAAATGAAAATAATTTCATCGTACACCAGCCAAGTCATAAAGTTTAAGTGTGAAGATGAAAAGAGACGACAGACAGAAATACAAATTAGATTAAGATTAAATTATATGCTGAAACGGCAAATTTAGGGGGATAGAGCTCTCTTAAACACGTAATGACAACCATAAAGAAAACTAGGTAAGGGATTGTCTTACCATCCTTCTATCTAATAATTGCTTGTTTATTTCTAATAAATGATGGTGTCAGCCTCTACGTTTTGCTAACGCAGTCCAGAAGTCGTTACCAATACCGAAAGCAAAAAAAGGCTCCTCAATCTGACAGGCTCCATTGCCAGCCCGATTTCTCAGGCTCACAAAGGTGGGGCTTCCCTCTCCAAGGTACCGACGAGGTTTTAAGTTGCATTAGTTGGTTAATCAGACCAGCGAACTGGCCTCCCACTATTTTCGCTCCCCATCCGACAAGTGGTCGGGCTGATACCAGTGGGCCAGTACGCACCTGCTCATCAATAGTAATTAAATTGCCTTGTTTTTCGCTGTATATGGTTAACATTTCACTCACCTTAATCATAAGTTAAAAATTTGATTCAAAACATATAACGCAATACACAAGAAAATGATCAAAGTTTAAACTGTAATTTTTATTCTAATTATAGATAATGCTAAAATAATTAATAATAATCAATAATCTTGCCTTTAAATATTTTAGACATCACAAGTAATGCAGACGCACGCACTTCGTACACGAAGAAAAAAAAAAGGTTAGCAAATGGTTACCACTTAACTATTGTAATGATATGCTCACACATCATAATTTATTGTATATTTTATCATTTCGTTAAATAAAGTAACGGTCAAGTTGTCGCACGCAGATAGCCTTCAATAAAAACCTATAATCCCTATTGATCACTGACGAGAGAGACGATCTACATTGTTTGGCCACGTGGGAACCCAAACGCTATTGCGACCATATGGCACAAAGCGTTTGACCTATTTTCGTGTGCCGCCAAAGACAAGGGATGGTCCAATGAGGCTCTCTGTCATCGGGGACCCTGGCTGTCTTGATCACGTCGTCTTCTCTAGTCAGTGCATGAGCACTAGCCAAACCATCGAGTGCATGAGCACCAGCCAAACTATCGAGTGCATGAGCATCGACAAAATCTCAGTGCAGGCGCACCATACAAACGAGCAGGAGCTCCTCCCAAGACCCATCACACACCCCACAACTCAAGACTGCGAGCGACAGCTGGACTTCTTTCTTTTTCTAAGATAAAATCAGTGTTGTTTTTCTTATTTAAATTTAAGTTTTCCTTAAATCATATCGCAACTTGTATTATCTTACATCTTTCTCTGAGGATCGTACTATAGGTATACACCACGGCGAACCAGGTAAGGTGCATGCCCTACATACTTATTGTCAGTACGAAATATTTTACTATTTAATTTACATACGGTGTATTTGGTCATATTCTCGAAACACGATCTCGAGAACCCTCCGAAGAACAGGAGGAAGGTAATAACGCAAGAACAAGTACATTCAATATTTATTAATACCGGACTTACATACAAGGCTTGTGTCCCTTGTATCCGTCCGGCCACGACATTCTCATAACAAATACCCTTTTATAATAATTTTGAATATTTTACTTTTTATTTTAATTTCTCTTATTTTTGTGTTATTACAAAGTGGCGCCCAACGTGGGGCTCGATTCATTTGTTTATTTTTTCAAATAAACTGAGAATTGATCAAGTACACTATAGAGATTAGACAGTTAATCTATACATCATATTATATACTTACATTTATAAGAGATAGATACAAAAAATTATACATTTTAAAATAACAAAAAAAAAAAAAAAAACTAAAATTATTAAATCTTAAAAGATTTTTACTAAAAAAATCGGGATTATAAAAATATTCAAGAGAATTTTTTATTTTCACCACTAAAAACTAAAATTATTAAATCTTAAAAGATTTATACTAAAAAAATCGGGATTATAAAAATATTCAAGAGAATTTTTTATTTTCACCACTAAAATTCTAAAATTATTAAATCTTAAGAGATTTATACTAAAAAAAAAAAATAAATAAATAAATAACATACTAAAAATTCATATATTATATTTTAAAGTTATATTAAAATAAAAACGGGATTATAAAAATATTCAGGAGAATTTTTTATTTTTTCCACGTGAAACAAATATATTAAAAATTTATATATATTTTAAAATCATATAAAAAATAAAAACGGGTTTATAAAAATATTCGGGAGAATTTTTTATTTTACCACGTAAAACTAAAATTACTAAATCTTAAAAAAGATTTATACTAAAAAAAAAAAAAAACAATTTTTAAAAAAATTCAAAATAATTTGTAAAATCAAATTATTAATAAAATTCTAACAAACAAACAAAAAAAAAATTTTAGTGTGAAATAATATATTTTATTTTTCTCACTTATTGAGTGAATAATTAAACTAATTAACAAGGTATTATAATATATTTAGCATATAAAAAAAAAAAAATTTAATTACTATTTACCTATGTCTAATTTTAAAAAATAGATAATCTGGATAAATTTAAATTCCCTAGTATAAATTTAAACAACATTTCAACGGGTTGGATAAATAAACTTAATAAAAAAAAAAAAAAAAAAAAAAATTAATCACAGAAGTATCTAGACAACAATTAATAATTTCTGGTTTAGTACCTGATTTAAAAAAAAAAAAAAAAAAAAAAAAATATAAATAAATAAATAAACTTCATAAATATTTAAAAGGGGAATCCACTCCAGAAAACTTTGAAACGCAAATGGATAATATAACATTTATCCCTGAACCAATACACAACTCCGCCGAAAACACAATAATATACAAAATGACTGATAATAAAAGACCATATTTCAAACCAAACAATTTTGCTGGTTCGATCTCGGAAAGTATCGACTCGTTCTTAAAAAAATATGATAGGGCTGCCATCATAAATGGGTGGTCAGAGTCTGAAAAGACTCAATTTATTCCGGTATTTTTAGAGGGCTCCGCCCTTACTTTTTATGATAATATTATGGATAGTGGGGAAAACATAGAATGGGCTGACTTAGAAAAAAAATTCAGATTAGAATTTGAGCCAATAGCTCAAAATGACATACTTCGATTAATGTTAAAAAAACGGAAGCAATTACCCGATGAACCCACCGTAGCATATATCAACGAGGTCGAATCTCTATGCAGACGCATTGATAGCAGAATGTCCCAGGAAGAAATGATACACAATATAATGAAAGGCTTAAACCCCTCCATAGCGAGATACATAGGAATAATGGATAATGCTAACTTAACAGAATTAAAAAACAACGTACGCAAGTACGAAATGATTGAATTTATGATAACAGGTGAAACACCTAAATCTCAATTCGACATAGAAACAGAAACAATAAAGTCCAAACTTCAACAAATAAACTCAAATAAAAACACAAAAGAAAATGAGATCGACAAATTGCACGATGAGATTAAAGACATAAAGACCATATTTAGTCAATTTTTAAACAAGGAAACAAATACAAATTATCAAGGTAATATTGTAGACAGAAATCCCTACGAAAATAATGATAGCCAAAATCAAAACAATTTCAATAACCAACAGTGGCATACACAAATGCCTCAAATGTATAATATGCCATATAATAATACAAATAACACACAATATTGGAATACAGGCCCTCGAGAACCCTCCGAAGAACAGGAGGAAGGTAATAACGCAATAACAAGTACATTCAATATTTATTAATACCGGACTTACATACAAGGCTTGTGTCCCTTGTGTCAGTCCGGCCACGTCATTCTCTTAGCATTTACCCATTTATTTTAATTTTTAATATATTTTTACTTTTTAATTTTAATTTCTCTTATTTTTGTGTTATTACACTATTTTAACTGTATATTAGGCGTTGAATAGATCGCTGTTATGAGTGTGTTAAATTTGAATTAAATTATAGGTATATCATTGTACCTACATAAAAAACGATTCTGAACGGAGGCAATCTGTCATCCTATATCAAAAACTATATTTTTATGGTATGTTTTTTTTTTTAATAAACGAGTACATAACTGTTAAAGGTAACGATTTTACTTTTAATACCTACTGCGGTAAGTTGACAAAATTTTCTCGAAAATATTGCATTCATTATAATATTAGTATTATACAACTAATATTTATTTTTTCCATATTGTATAAACTTATACAACTTATAAAGTAATAATATCTTTTTATAAATACTGTAAAACAGTAAAAATAGATACATAATATAGATTAAGATTTACGTACCTAAGAAACTAAAAATTTCATTGGCCGTTTATAACTAACATCGTTATTTATGTTTAAATAAGTAATTTCTTCCAAATTTTAACTCAAAATATCTGTGAAAAATATTTTTCTTATTAAATTTCTTGTTTCAATTTAAACTAATTATAAAAAACCTTGTATTAAATTTTCAAAAACAATAAATAAAAATAAAAGTTTCTATGAATTTCTAATTAAAAAAATAGTTTAATTTTTTATGAATTTTTTTGTCAAAATTCTTATTTGAAACGCCTACGAATATAAAAATGTTATCTATATAGATTTAATAATTTGATACATGTTTAAGAAAAATTTATGTGAAACTTTGTATTAAATTTACATTTATAAAAAAAAAAATTTAAAAAAATGAAAATTTATCATGCCTATAAATAGTTCAAAAATCGTTAAAGAAATCAAATTTTTGTTCACAATTTATTAGATGTATCAACTATTATATATTATAGTATCATAGGTTACGTTAGGTTTATATATTAGGTATCTTACTTAATTCCTTGCTATTTTTCGTTAAAAAAAGTAATTAAAATAAAATTAAAATAAATACCTATACACACGTCACTTAATGTAATAAAAAACCAATTTAGTGATTTGAAATTTTACATCACATCTTTCGTAAAATTACTGTTTCGCCATCTTCAAACTTTAAGTGCTTAAATTAACAAAATCTATATATCTAACTCTTCTTTTAGGTAGATCTTACTAAAAATACAGCTCCAGGGTCTAAATAAAGTGAGTCCAAATGTCCGAGATCTCCAAGTCAATGAACGATGTGCACCGAATTCCTAAAAGAATATTACCCAACAAATTATAAACCGTAGTAATGTAGTACCTGTATCCTAATTATTCGTAACCGAGGTCCATTATATAATAATGGTATTATACCTACCTGATAAAATGTATATTAATTAATTATAAAAAACATAATAAATAATAATATACGATAAGCATTAAGCAGTAACAGTAGCAACGCATTTTTACATTTATCTTAAAAGTTAACAGATATCTTAGACCTTTTGTATTGTGTAATATATCTATCATACATCATTTCATTATGCATATAAAATATTACATTTTATCTATTTAGTATTTATGCGCCATGTCTATGTTTAATAATATACAAAATTATGTGATAACAATTGATGTATTTTTGGTCAGTCGTTAACATAGGGTAGGCGGATTCTACCGTTGGCATTCTGTGGTACCGTGGGGGTTGGTCGCACTGAAAGCCATTTGTAATGAATTCCTCCCGAAACCGACCCGTCCCGTATATCATGATGAAGTGATGAAGTGCAGTGTAACACATTAGTTAAAGAATAGAGTAAAAAACCAAAAAATAAAAAAAAATAAATAATTTACAATTATTGACTATAGTATGATAAATAAGCAATTGGAAATAGAAAAAATATAATTCATTTATTAAAAGAAAACAATCTTAATAAAAAAAAATATTAATTTATAACGTTCAGTTGCACGGCTGTCGTATAATCATAGGTAAAACTGAGTTACCGTCAAGTGTGAGTGAGTGTGTGTGTGTTTCTGTGTATGTGTATTGTAAGTACGTGCGTGCGCGTATGTGTGTGCGTTTCGGTTATTGTTTGGAGTAGGTACTAGGTATTATAATAAAGTCGGTGCACCGTCTGTTTGTCTCCACCATCGACATCACCACATTTCTATAAGTTATCACCACCGGCTGACCGACATAACTTCATCGACGTACGATTGCGCATCGACTTTACACGATACGCCACTAGGCTACTCGGATCTTGACATATCTGCCAAGAGGACCACAGAGTAGGTAAGTCTTGTTTTATTATCCTGTGTTTCCTGTGCTACCGTAGTATAATTATCATTGTCAGCACCTTTTCCCAAGTTCTTTGAGTGAAATTTTGCCCTCCTTAATGTCTACCTTGACTAAATCTGTCATTCAAGAGACATATAATGTCATTGTCATATACCCTTGGAGTCTACTAAATATTATAGTTTAATTTCCATTCAACGTCTTGAACAAATATTCTACTCTTCAAAGTTTCCTATGAGATAGTATGCTTCCTCTGAAAGTTTGTTATTGACTTTTCTAGCACGTCATTACTACAAAAAAAAAATTCTCTTTGAGATTTATGTGCATTATACTAGTTATCTCTATTTGATATTGATCAATATCTTTTCTATCTAAAACCTATTTAAATACCTATTATTTTAATGTTTACATTTAATTTTATCTTAATTATTTATAGATAGTAAAAACACGTTCAATTTACAAACTGATGCTATTCCTACCTGTTTTATAGGTTCTTTAAATAAGTTTGTAAAGTCATTCATTTAATTTTATACATTTTCTATGCAATTTATAAAAACTTAATACTATCAGGAAAATCTTATATCCATATTATTAAAACTATTGTGCAGATTAGATATTTTTTATAAAAATGCATTAAGTAGGTACCTACCTAATTGTTAAAATCCAACCATGGTATTTATAGTTTAATTTAATTTGAAGTTCTATTTACAAATGTATTTTAAAAAAATCATAGAATATATGTTCATAAACCCATAATGATTAATAATTTTCATAATTTTAATAAACTAGAAATAATTACAATATAATTAATCATTACAATATCCTTAAGACTGATATATGTTGATCATAGTGACAAATTTATATTATTTGGTAGGTTTTTGATCAGTACCTTATTAAATCATCAATAGTTAAGTAATTAATGTTATTATAATTGTTTTAAATATTAAAATATATGCACCTACCTTGTTATCTGAAATCTATTTCTACTATTAATTGTTTATTTTTTCAAGAAGTTGTGTTCTAATCTACTCATATTATAATGTTTAATATATGTATTTCTAAATTTCCAGTATTTAAATATAAACTTTCAAAAATCTAGTTTTGATAAATATTATCAAACTAATATTTAAATATTAAAGATGTTCTTACGCCTTTATAAATATTCTATAGGCATTATTGATTTTTAATTAATATTGTGTACCTAACTATATAATGTTTAAACATATACTTTTAACACATAGATTTAATTAATAACACTTTATATTTCATTAGCCTTAAAATTTTCTGGTAATAAATATATCATCATTACTTTATTTTATAAATTTTTCAATGTAATTTAAATAATTCTCAATTTAAACTACCATTTTTCCCACATTTTAATTGCAAAAACTTTTTATTACTTCCACCCAGTAATGGCCTCGCTTATGGATTGATAGCAAAATTAAAAATTTTACACAAGACTTAAGTCATCTTCATCTACTCTAGTTTTGTTTTGCTATTGTAATTTTTCAATGTATTACTAGTTGCAACTTGTATTCATCTTCCTTCTTCCACAAACTTTAATTACATATCAATTTTACTTTATTCAACACTATTATTTTTTAAATTGTTAGGTACATCTATGATCTCTATTTATGTATTCTTATGAGTAATTTGGACTCAAATTTGATTGCATTTTAAAGTTTTTAGCACTGATTCTTATTGCTTCGTAAATTATTAAGCTGTACACAAAAACAAAATATGTTTTTCCTTATAAAATTATTTTTATGGTTCTTTAAAAATAGTAAGATGTAAGAATAATACTAAGGTTAATTACATCTTGACTCTTGTTCATAAATATTATATTCATTTTGTATAAAAATTAATCATGTAAAGGTACATAGGTACTTTAATATTAACGTTTCTATAAATATTTTTTGCTTTTGTTTAATATAATTTTGTTTTATTTTCAGGGAGTTAAATAAATTAGATAAATTTGTTTTATAACTATCTCTATAAATCAAGTGTGTACTTGAAGACTTCAGACTTTGAAATTCTTCCATAATGGAATGGAAGAACAATGTTCCAGAAGGGTAAATTATTATAATATAAATATCACATAAATTTGAAGTTTAATATATTATATTTTATTTTTATTTTTTGTACAGGAAAATAAATAAAACTTCAGGTTCAAATTCTCAAAATAGAAGACCTTCTGGTGGAGGAAATAAAAAAGCAAACGATACTGTTGAATATTTTGGGTGAGTATTTATATATAATATTAAAGATTACATAACACTACTTTAGTTATTTTTGTTTTAAAATTTTAAATACATTTTATAAATGCATTATTAAATATAGAATTTACATATTATTTAATACAAAACTGTTCTATGTAAATACAAATTTATTTTACACTGTACTATAATTTCTTCAATAAAATAATATGGTAACTAAAAAGTTGAATAACTTCATATTTTTAACATACATTTATTCAGAAACTCATTCATATTCATTTTAAAAAAATAAAGCATTTATACATGTTACAGGCAAAGCATACAATTTGGGTATTTTCTACAATGTCCAAGCATTATATAAAATGGTCTTCGTATATTGGGCAAAATAGATGTTATAGTATTTATTAGTAAATTAT